AGCGCATGGGTGCTGGGATGCATCCGGGCATGTGGGGCCTCCAGGGCTGTGGAGTCGGTAGATAAATGTTCCGACTCCGACTCCGACTCCTCAGTTTTTTGTACTTCCGACTCCGACTCCTCTGTATTAATATGCGAATGCGTGCGTTGCGTGCCATATAGTGAAGCACATGAAAAGCATGCTTCTTCACGGTCACTTAGCGTGTTCGTTTTGCGGTTACGTGAGGCACTGCATGCATTGGTCTTTATTCTTACAGTAGAGAAGTCATTAATTATAACTTTTTGTGAATTGGGACATTTAAACTTGCTTTTTTTTTTAATTCCAATCTAAATTTAGTAGGAGTCGGAGTCGGTGCATTGTTTGCCGACTCCGACTCCAGGTACCCAAAATTTCCTCCGACTCCTCGACTCCGACTCCGACTCCACAGCCCTGGGGGCCTCGGCCAGTTAGTGGGCGGCTGGTTGAAGAGGGACGGTTGCCATTTCCAGGGCATGGCAAGCGTGCCCACAGAGAGGGCTCTGAGTGCCGCCTCTGGCACATGTGCCATAGGTTCGCCACCACTGTCCTATATCGTATGAATACAGAGTGTGGAGCGAACTATAGCAGCACCAGTGTCATAGTTTCCCCTTAAATTGCACATAATTTTTACGAGGGCAACACTACTGTGGCTTATGTTTGGGGCAGCAGTTAAAGGCACCAGCCTTAGAAACTCAAAAGGACCGTGAGTTCTACTCTTGCTGACTAGCCTTGGGCCAAATACACTCTCTCGGCCCTAAGAGACAGTGACAAACAAACCGCTTCTGAAATTATGCAAAAAAACCCCAACAAAACCCCCGCAGGGACTAGAATAGAATAAGAATAGCATTAGAATTAGAATAAGGAGCTGGAAGGGACCTTGGAGGTCTTCTAGTCCAGCCCCCGTCTAGAAAGTCTCTGAGAATTGGACAAGATTGGACAGGGAAGGAAAAAGAATGTGACTAAGCAGAGGTGGCCCCTGTTAGTACTTGGATAAGGGACCACTAGGTAATCCCAAGGTTAAAGTTCAAATAACTTCTAAGACAGACATGTCAAACACAAGGCCAGGGGGCCGGATGCGGCCCGCAACGTGGTTTCATGTGGCCCGCAAAGCCATCCTGGAAACAGTGAGGGAACGGCCCCCACTGTCTTGGCCCTGGACCCGGCTGCCCGGGAGCCAATGTACAATTTTGTGGTGGCCATCTATGCTGAAACACATTCAGTCTTAGCTCCACAAGGCCGTCTGGAAACAGCGAGGAACCAGCCCCTGCTGTGTCGGCCCCACCCCGGGTGCATGCTGGGGAGGTGTCACCCTTTGTGAGGAATGAAGAAATGGACCTTGCCTTGGCGCTTGCCCCGGTCCCCCCCCCCACCTTCTGCCAGAGACCCTCAGATCTGTTCCACTCCTGCCCAGGCCCCCACAGGCACCCTTGATGCGAACGATGTCGAGCTGGCCACACCCACCCAATAGGCCACACCCACTCCATCCACACCCACCCAGTAGGCCACACCCACCCTGGCTACACCCACCTACCCCCACCCCGAGGGCAACCGCAATGC